ACGCACGAGTACATTCGGACACTGTCGAGATTGCGGTAAGAATAACAGATCCGGACCTGGACAAAGAAGAGCTACTGAGAGCTTATGGGGAGAGCAGACTAGGGAAATTTGTTAAGAATGGTGACATCAGATTCAGATGCATTAAGGGGCCGGAGGGCACGTGTCACAGGACTGCCTACTTAGACTGCACGAGGGAAGCTGCCAAGGAGATGATGCAGGAGAAGGAAATTCGTACCAAATGGCAGGAGTTAAGGCCCTTCTTTCCAAGGAGGAAGTCTGATCTTGAAGGTGAGGATAGGAGGAAGATAAAGGACGGAAAGGGCAACACGGGAGCGAAGACGGAAACGAGGAAGGAAGATGAGGAAACGACGGAAATAGAGCGGTGGGCCAAACCTGGCACGAGTAAAGAGCCATGGTAGGAGACGGCTTCAACATACAACACGCAGCAGGATAAATGAAAAGCAGCGGCGGGAAATTAGAATTAACAACATATATTTATATTTTTTTTTTATATTTATATTTATATATATATTTATATTTCTATTTTTATTTATATTTATATATTTTATGCAACATACGCTACATATAACGCAATTAATATAGCATATACTCACTAGCATAGTTATACATATACGCTTATATTTACTCGCATTTATACATATATATTATCTACTATTTACCTGCCCATATTTATTATTCATTACTCATAGTTATTTGTATCTATTTTCATATTTCCATATTTATTTCTACTAGTATTAGACACGCTTAGACTCGCACACATGTGCGCCTACATTCATAGGGAACACTAATGTACAAACATACACGTATACCTATGTATGCCCACAGAAATGGGCGCTTATTTTATTTTTATTTCTACTGTTACTGTTTTACCGTCACTTTATTTTACTTTTACCTTTACCTTTATCTTCGCTTTTATCTTCGCTTTCGACACTTTATCTTCGCTTTCAACATACACCCAAACTAAGTCTTAATTAATTTAATTTAAACTAAATCACAGTTAGGCTGCGGTGCGACGCCTAAAATTACTTAAACACAGTGTATATATTGTAAATTAATTTAAATAAGGAAGAACTCAAATGAAATATTAACCGTGTTAACAAATTGATAAATAACAATAATAATGACGAATAGAAAGGAAACATAAAAACGTTAAACAGTAACGAAACACCTATCTAAGGCACAATCATTCTCTCTTTATTATCTCACTATTATCCCACTATTACATTATTACATTATCTCAAGACGGACAAACAGGCAAAGGAAAGCGCAAATATCGAATACGCGACAACTAATGGACGATAATAACACTAACGGGAAGGAACACCCTCCAAGGTGCGTTCTACTTCCTCCTTCATCATCATGACAAGTTTAACAAAGCGAAGAATGGCGTTACGGTGACTCTCTTCACCAAGTAACACGAACACGAAGTTTAGGGGAGTAAGAGGGCCTGTAACAGCATACAAAGCTGAACGCTCGGGCTCCCAACACGAGCAGGAAAAAAGGGTATGATAAGCATCATCCTCAACTCCGGATTGGCAAAACCAGCAAACGGGAGACGAAATACGATTGATACGATAAAGGTAACTGGCAAAACAGCCATGGCCTGTCAAAACCTGAGTGAGATGAAAGGACAAAAGACGGGGACCATCAGACGTGATCCAGAAACCTAGATCTGGGATAAGGCGACGTGTCCAATCACCAGTGGAACAAGTGCATCAGGAAGATTGCCAATCGCGACGAGCGAGGAGATCGACAGTGCGAGGAACATCTAAACTATCAGCGAAGGGATCAATGTGGAAATAGGCGGTGCGAAGATGAATAAGAAACTCCCAAGGAGTACAACCGGACAGGACACACAGAACTGAGGTGGAAACGGTGCGATAGGCGCGACAAATTCGGAGGAGACCAACGCGCTGAGTTGAATGCAGGCGAGATAGGATACGGGTGAAGGCGACAGGGAGCAGCATAAAGGACTATAGATTCAACAACGCGGTAGTACAAAATGCGACCAGTGTAACCACAGCCGCGCAAGTTAGGAAAGAGACAAGATAAGCGTTTTGCAACAGCCAAGGCCTTGGTGCAAACTTTATAAATGTGCTGGTGGTAGAGGCGACTGTTTCCGAAAAGAACACCAAGATAACGTACAAAGGGTGAAGTTTGGATAGTATTTGAGCCATGAATCAAGGATATCCCACGAGGAACGCGGCGACCGGTCAGAAGAATCGCCTCGGTCTTATGGGTGGCTAGAACTAGGCCCTGAGAGGTGTACCAGCTACCCAGAATGCGAAGACACTCCTCTGCAAGGGAGCGCAGACGGGATAAAGAACGGGCAACAAGCACGAGAGCCATGTCGTCGGCAAAACCGACGGTAATAGCGCCACCCGGAAGAATAAGATCCAACACACCATCATACGCTAAAATCCACAAGAGTGGGCCAAGAACAGAGCCCTGGGGAACGCCAGCGAAAACCGGCACCTCAATCCAACTACCGTCAGAAAGGAAAGTTCCAACCTGACGATTAGACAAATAGCTAGCAAGAATACGAACCAGAGAAGAGGGAAAACCTCGGGATACTGCAGCACGGAGTATATTTTCCCATTTTAGGGTATTAAATGCATTTTTTACGTCTAAAGTCACAAGAAGACAGTGACAATTGGAAAAACGGGCACGATCCCACTCAGAGGTCACCACGCGCATCGCCTGCATGGTGGAGCGGCCTGATAGAAAACCGAATTGACGGGGAGAAAAACCGCCTGAAACACGAACTGCTTCTAGAAGACGTTCTCGGATACAATACTCGAAACCCTTACTCAAGTGGGGCAACATGCACAAAGGACGCAAGTCACCAAACAGCACGATCCCACTCAGAAGTCACCACGCGCATCGCTTGCATGGTGGAGCGGCCGGATAGAAAACCGAATTGACGGGGAGAAAAGCCACCTGAAACACGAACCGCCTCTAGAAGGCGTTCTCGGATGCAATATTCGAAACCCTTACTCAAATGGGGTAACATGCACAGAGGGCGCAAGTCACCAAGACAAATGGGGCAACTTGCACAAAGGGCGCAACTCACCAAGGGTGTTAAACGGCTTATTAGCCTTAGGAATCAGCACCAAACGGCCGCTTTTCCAAGCAGAAGGAAAGTAGCCTTGAGAGTAGCACGAGTTGAAGAGCTTTGTTAACCAGTTGAGGGCAACCCTACCAATAACGAGAATGACTTCGCCGGTCATGCCATCGGGACCAGGAGCTTTTTTAGGGCCGATACGAGCGAGAGAATAGGCTACGGTAAGAGGGCAAATAGGAGTATCAGAGCCATCCGGATTTATAAAAGAATTGTGAAGCAAGGAGGGAGACAAAACAGGCAAAGAAGCAGAGGGAACTGAAAAAGGATCAGGAAGAGAAGAGGAAGACGTTGAAGGAGAAGAATCCGGCACACAAACAAACAAAGCCTGCATCGCCAGCCGAAACTCCTCGCGGTTGAGGGACACTGGAGGCTTGTTACCGCGCAACTTCTTCATCATAGATTTGTATGGGCGACCCTATACGTCGGAGCGAACCTCGCTTATCATCTCTTGAAAACATTCGTTCTTGCGGCGACGCAAGAGAGAGCGAAAGGTGCGACGAGCCAGAAGATATGCGGGAAGGGCAAGCTCGGAAGCGAGCGCAGAATCGCGGGAAAGAGTATAGCGATACAGATCACTCGCTTTACGGGTCTCACGACGCAAAATGGCCAATTCCTCATTCCACCAAGGAGCATCGCGGCGCTTCTTACGGCGCAAAGGGAGAGAAGGGCGCAACGAGTCAAAGAGAGATTGGAGACAGGACAATTCGGAGTCAATCTCAGCCGGCGAAAAGAATTGTGACGAGTCGGAAAAATCGCGAGTGCAAAAGGTTGATGACGAGAGAGATTCGAACCATACGTCGAGGTCAATAGGGACTGAACGGGGCAACCAGGGAAAACCTGATGAAGAAGAAGGCGAAGATGAGCCAGGTAAATCATGGGCAAGGGAGGAAAGTGAGAAATTATGTAACAGAAAAGGTAAAATCTGGAAGAACAGCAGAGCGAACTAAACGATATAACAAAGGTAAGGAACAAACAGCAAAATCTATTCTGGAGGAATAGGCACCGCGGTGGAACGAGGGACCACCATCGCTGCAGACGGGACTAACACCTAATTCTGAAAAAAGCAATTCGAGAAGACGACCGCGGGAATCCAAGGATTCGGATCCCCAAGTGGGAGAGCGGGCATTAAAATCACCACAAAGTATGAAGGGTTTTGGAGAGCGAAGAATATAAGAGGACAAGGCGGCTAAAATATGATCAAGAGCAGAAGAGGAGAGATTCGGAGAAAGATAGCACGACCCTATGCAAAAGTCACGAGTTTCCACTAAAACAAAACCATCCCCGCGACCAGAACAATGAACGACACCAAAATCAGAAGAAGAATAAGGACGGAACCATATAGCACATTTGGAATCCAATCTCACATGCCACTCATTCCGGATTTCATACGGTTCACAGACACAAACAAAATCCGCACAA